TTTCTAGTAATATGATAAAATTCTTTCGACAACACAAAAGTTATGTTGTATTTTGTGAGTTTGCGGGATAAAAAAGCAACCATTGGTGTCCTAGAAATGATTGAAAAAGCTTGGAATATAGGTCAAATATTTTAATTAATTTCTTTATTTTAATTTTCTATTTCGTGTGAAATACATCAAAGGAATGTTTCATGGGCTGCTCCCTACTCCCCCTCTCCCTTCACACACACACACACACACACACACACACACACACAGCTCCCCCGGCTCCACTTCAGCGTAGACCATCGCTTTCTAAATACGTTTTTGTTCATTTACTCAGGTAAATGTTGCAGGCATATTGTTCCCTATCACCTGTAGCCTAATTCACTGAAGAGAGCGTCTTGTTATACACTGAAATATTGAAGTGGAAATAACTCGAATATACTGGCTCTAAGTATAGCTGTATGTTGTTTGAACAAACCATTATCGTAACTTTTGGTGCAGAAAGCAGTGATGCAATTCTTTATTTGATTTCAGAATTTAAAATGAAACAATGTCGTATTTTTTACTGAAAGAATGTGCACAGCCCATTTGAAGGAGTGAGAGACGTGTATTAAAAAAAAACTTAGTTGCAAGACTAAATAAACGAAAAGCTTCATAAGACCTCGCCAGAAACAAAAACTTGGAAAAGTTCAAGGTGACTCATTCTAGACCAAAAAATACAAGGAAAACCTCCGTGTTCCATATCTGGTGGACATAACTTACCCCTGCGACCACAGATATAGAAAGAACATAGAGAGGTCATTTCAATCATTTCCATAGCTTCTGCACACATTCAATTGACTGAAAATCCAAAAAGGAATTTTTTCTTCCGTAAAATACCACTGTNGTCAATTTGCAAAAAAAAAAAAATAAATAAAATAAAATAAAATAAAATAAAATAAAATAATAATAATAAATAAATAAATAAATAAATAAATAAATAAATAAATAATAATTAAAAAATAATGATAAATAAATAAAATACCCATTTCATTTTATTGTCCGTAACTTAAAAAGCGCACAAAATCCATCATTATGAAATCTTAATGTAATTAATATTCCCAGGGCATTCGAGTACCATTATTGTATTTACAATTAATTGTATTTTAAACTCTTGCGTCTAATTTGTCCCGTTTTATATACCTAAGAACTTGGGCAGACCGCTGTTAAAAGCCAGGTTTGTGACACTTGTTCAACTGTAAAAATCTATGCGGGCCATTTATTATATGTGAGATACGTCTCTGAGTGGCTTTGGTTCAGACAGCACTCTATACCCACAAAACGCTGTGTGCGCACTGCAGAAGGACCAAAGAACGCCGATTATTTAAAGCGTTCGGTAGTTTCTGTTCTCCTTAGGAAGTTGTCAGCTCTGAGCTCTGCCTCGTGCCGGGACGAAACGCCACTCATTTGCTAGTCAAGCAATTAATGGAAGCCCATGCACGAAATTGTTCAAATCAATTTTAATCCAGACGAAAGTCTAACAAGGTCGCTATACCACGTCAATTTGTCGCTGTGATTGGATTAAGTCTTAACCAAATCGAGTGTCAGGGCACTACCACATATTAATAAATCACTCTAAATTAACAGCATCGTTTACTGCGCTAAGAAACAGCAGCGCTCAGCCCGGCCTACTCTGTACTCTCAGGTCCGTGTGCTTTGTTTTCAGTAATGAAACGAGGGGAAAGAGAAAGGGTGATGGGCTGAGAGCTAGAACGCAACTGAGAATAACTGCCGAATTTAATATGATTATATCATTTAAAGCATATAAAGTGGCTGCAATTTCCATTGTACTTACATGCTGTACACGTACAGTTTCATTATTTTACAATTCACGATTTGCGACAATCCTTCATTATCTACACAGCTTGTCCATTTTTTTGCATTTACATATATTTCAACATTTTCAAATACTGCTAATTCCTACTTATATCTAATGAAAGAGCGATTCACTAAAGCTTTAAAACGTACTTTACAAGATAATATTCATTTTCCAGTTTAAACTTGATATTTGTACATTTTCATGTAAAAGGGGTTTCTGAATGCAATCTGTAACTTCTAAATTTTATTTTGTGGATGATAAAAAAGACAACTTGGTCACAAACTGCAATTGTCGATATGCTTTGAAAATGAAATCATAATGGAAATGAATTTATTTTCTGTTGCAGTTTGTAAACACTACACAACAGTCAAACAAACACACAGCCGATCAACAGAAACGTGCCAGTGATATGTTAGATGGCATCAAATAAATGCACTTCGCTCAATGTGTAGGATGTATAACAAAACTCTTAAGAAGAGATTCCACGCAAGGGGGCATATATTAGCTGATCTAGCTTCGGTAGTATAACTAGTTGATGATTTGAGAAATACTATCAAGTTTAGAAGTGGTCTATTTTTAATCAAACCAGCTGAGTTTCTTGTTCTTTTACATCAGATTTTAACATGGCAATCAACCCAAATGAACACCATGAAATCAAAAATGAAAGTGTCGGTAAAATGAAAATAAAAATAACTAAATGAATAAATAAAATAGAAAAAAAATAATAAAGATAAAATAAAAATGCCAATAATTTTAAAACACACCACATCATTTTAAGAACAGGGTTGCAAAATGTGTCTTACGTTTTTACACACAAAAAGAAGCTAGTGGAAATGATCTAAATTGGGTGTTACGCTAATAAGATAATAATTACAGGCAATTCTGTTTTGTCAATTCAGTATTCTTGAGATAAAAGTGAAGTTAGTGACTGCTTTGCTTACGAGATCCATTGAATATGAGAAAGAACGCCCCTCTTTCTTCTCCCCCCCTCCCCACGTTTCCTCTAATTTGACTAAAGTGACGCTGTACAGATGACTTCAGCGTCCACCATCTAGTCACGCGAGCTCTCCTCCGGGACGCGTCTCTCGCTTTGAAGTCGGTGCTCGTAACAACCGTAACGCGATGGTGAAGACGATATCTCTTTCAGTGCATCATCTTCTCGTCGCGTTTGCAAAACGCCGAGGATCGATACAATAGACGCTGGTGGAAATCCTACTTCTCGCGTCCCGATGTAACGTTTGATCTTTTCATTGCCAGTGAAACACGAAGCCAGCGATAGAAGGCAGCCACTTGAGTTCTGGATTGGTCTACATACCGACATAAGAAATAACTAGTGGGGTTCGAGAGAGGGAGAGGCACTCACTCAGTCTGAGAGGAGTATGACACCGAGTTTGGGAGGTCGTCGTTCTCAACATGAGCACTTAGGCGCCCAGACGTAGAAATCCGACGAAACGTGGAGGATTATTGTCTCCGAGACTTTAACAACTTATCAGGTCTTTTTATGCCACAGACGCTCTCCCGGTATCATTAAGTAAATCACGTTAATAGCCGGCGCGTATTAGTCGGCTATCGGTTTCGTATCCTCTCTGACCTTTTGAGTGGCTCAACCGTCTTAGGTTCTCATTAAGATGGAAAACTGGAAGGAAAATAAAATTTGTTTTTTGTCAAGCAATGACAGAAGAACTTTCGTCGATCGTCGATTCTTAATTTGTGTACCCGCCCACTCGAACCTTGTAAAGTTCAAATATTTTCTGAGAAAAGAAAAAAACCGAAGACTTCGCATGTCTTGTGAATCGAACAGTGGCGTTATATTTTGGGATTGGAACGCTTGTTGTCAGTAAATGCCAAGTACTTCTTTACCTGAATTCTTTCGACCAACCACTAAATAAATAAATGAAATAAAGATATAATAAAAAATGACCGAAATTGCCAGTGAAGAACATCAAATAATGATTATGAACACCATTTGTATTTCTAGTAGTATGATTAACTTCTTTCGACAACACAAAAGTTATGTTGTATTTTGTGAGTTTGCGGGATAAAAGAGTATCCGTTGGTGTCCTAGAAATGATTGAAAAACTTGGAATATAAGACAAATATTTTTGAATTAAATTTTTGAAATAAATGTTTCGTAGCCTGCTCCCTACTCCCCCCCCTACACACACACACACACACACGCACGCACGCACACAGACACACACAGAGCTTCCCCAGCTCCACTTCAGCGTGGACCATCGCTTTCTAAATGCGTTTTTGTTCATTTACTCAGGTAAATGTTGCAGGCATATTGTTCCCTATCACCTGTAGCCTAATTCACTGAAGAGAGCGTCTTGTTATACACTGAAATATTGAAGTGGAAATAACTCGAATATACTGGCTCTAAGTATAGCTGTATGTTGTTTGAACAAACCATTATCGTAACTTTTGGTGCATAAAGCAGTGATGCAATTCTTTATTTGATTTCAGAATTTAAAATGAAACAATGTCGTATTTTTTACTGAAAGAATGTGCACAGCCCATTTGAAGGAATGAGAGACGTGTAATAAAAAAAAAAACTTAGTTGCAAGACTAAGTAAACGAAAAGCTTCATAAGACCTCGCCAGAAACAAAAACTTGGAAAAGTTCAAGGTGACTCATTCTAGACCAAAAAATACAAGGAAAAACCTCCGTGTTCCATATCTGGTGGACATAACTTACCCCTGCGACCACAGATATAGAAAGAACATAGAGATGTCATTTCAATCATTTCCATAGCTTCTGCACACATTCAATTGACTGAAAACCCAAAAAGGAATTTTTTCTTCCGTAAAATACCACTGTTAGGCAGATATCCAAACATTTATAACCAACGATACGTTTTCATGTTTCTGCTGTAAAAAATTGCACTCCCGTCTTTTTAAAGTAAGAAAGATAAAACTTTCTTTGATATCAAGATCCTCTTTATCAAAACATCATAAAATGTATCATTGATTACTGTACAAGCGAAAGCGAAGCTGCTATACGGTAAAACCCCCTCAACCGGGCGTTCAATAGTCTTGGTCGTTTTTAAGCTATTGCGATAGAGGAGAAAATCACAAATCAACGGTGCATACAGTACAACGTCTTCTCTGACACATTTCAACAAATTCTAACCAATATTTAAATAAATGAGCTTTATTTTAAATATATCAACTGAGTTTATGTAACATGTAATGAACTTTGCCAAAATTACAATAAAATGTAATGTAAACTTACTTTTCGAAACAGAAAAGTATAATTAAAATGTTGAAATACCGCATAAAGATCCTTTATGATTTGAGGAATTAATACAGAAATTCATAGCTTTGGCATATTATCTACTGAATGCAAATACCTTCACTAACCCAAGATGTTATGCTACATGTATCTATGGTTGTCCGCGCTGTTCTTCATATATGGTCCAAGTATACACAATGATTTATAAAACAGTTACCGACAGAAACAATTTAAACAACTTATCTTACTTATGACTGTTTAAGAAAGTGATAAGCATATTAAAAAATCGTCTCTTGGATCACCGGTAATTATTATCTCTTACAGCATGTCTCAGACAGTGTTGTAATGTGATATGAATTTTTTCTGGGATGCTTTTATGAATTTTTGACATGATCACTATGGCGACAACGTATGTGCTTCTTTAAAGTATGACTGACAGCAAAAGCCTTGTCACAGTGCTGACATTTGTATGGTCTTTCCCCAGTGTGAGTTCGTTCATGAACTACAGCGTCATGTTTCTGGGCAAATGCAAAGTCACAATACTGACATTTGAATGGTCTTTCACCAGTATGAATTCTTTCATGGTTTGTGCACGTTTTTTTAATGTTAAATGCCTTGTCACAGTACTGACATTTGAATGGTCTTTCACCAGTGTGAGTTCGTTCATGGACAACACAGTTGTTTTTGCGGACAAAAGCTAGATCGCAATACTGGCATTTGTATGGTCTCTCTTCAGTCATAGAACCTTTGTGTACAATTTCTTCATGGCGCAAACAATCTTCTTTCCTGAGGAACGCTTTGTCGCAAAATTGACATTTTTGTTTATCCCTTTCAGTGTGAATCAATTCATGTCGAGAACAAATATTTTGAGTTAAAAACCCTTTCTGACAAAACTGGCATTTAAATGGTCTCTCAGCAGTGTGCAGTTTCTCATGTTTCCTGCGGGTGGCTTTCTCAAAGAATGCCTTATCACAGTACTGACATTTGAATGACCTGATTCTGGTGTGAGTTCTTTCATGCTGCAAGCAGTTGCCATTGAGAGTAAACGTCATGTCACAGTGGCGACACTTGAATGGTTTCTCTCCGGTGTGAATTCTTTCATGTTCAACACAGCGGGGTTTGGTAGGGAAGGCCTTATCACAGTACCAACATTTGAATGGTCTCTCTTCAGTGTGAACTTTTTCATGCTGTACACAGCTCTTTTTACTGGTAAATGTCTTTACGCAGTGCTGACATTTGAAGAAACTTTTCTCAGGTTCACTAGCATTTAAAGTGCTCCTACAAGTATCAGAAGAAACTGTTTTGCCTAAGTCAGCACTGCCAATATTATCATTACGTCCACAATCCGATGTATTAGAAGAAGACAGCATATGTGTATTTTGCTGAGGCAGTGTAATTTTACAATATTGGCACTTATATGATTTCTCTTCAGTATGTGTACCTGCACCAGATACATCACTGCCATCATGGAGATATATCTGACCGCAGCTCTGACATTTCACCATGTCCTGTTGGGTGTTATTTCCTCCACAGATTTGGTAGGAAGGCATCTGGTAACTCAAGCGAATATCTGCAAGAGTCCCTGCTCCATTTTGTAGGACAGTTTCTTTCGTGGCACTTTGGGTAGATATTTTCAGCTTTGAAGTAGGGTTGAAATTCACAGGTTCAGTTTTCATACTGGTGTTCATGGTCAACTCATCCTCTAGGTTTTGCTGCACTGGATTAACATTGTCACTGGCATCCTCAGTTTCGGCAGTCTCATATTCATAATCCACTGGCTCGACTTTAACAGCTGTTGCCAAAATGCTTTCACAATCATCCTTGGCACTCTCTGATTCACTGAGTTGACTAGAATGTGGATGGTGATTAGAGTTGGTGTCTGTCAAAGTTCCAGCATCATCTTGTACATCAGATTCTTTGACCATGGTGTTTTTGTTTGCTGTATCTAGTTTTAAAGTTTTGTCCAAACAATCAGGTGGCTTGTGATTTACACTTGAAGTCATAGTTGTGCTACTTTCCAAGTTTTGCTCGACTAGCTGAACATTCAAGTTCTGAGTTGGAATATGTCTGACACTTTCAGTGTTGTGGCGTATAAGAAAACTGAAAAGAAACAAAAATTTAGTGACTGCATTATTCCCTCTATTTCAGAAAAAAATAAAAATCAGATACATACTTCATGTATGGATTAAATGAAAAATTTCCAGTGAAACACAGCAATGAACTTTGCAGTTGGCATCTATGTGCAACTGCTGCTCAAGTGCTCATCCTGAATCTAAATGTTACAAAGCAAAAGAACATGAAACTATCTTTGGTCAATTTTAAAATGAGTCATGGTTACCCTTTACTACAAATGACTGTGCACCTTACCTTTGGTAGTGTACCATACTTTCATGATGGATACGTTCCTGCCTTTTCAAGAAAGTCTTCTCACAATACTGACATTGGTGGGTTTCCCTCTTAGAGTGGCGTTTTTCATGTTTGATGCGGCTTTCCCTCCACGAAAATGCCTTATCGCAGTATATGCACTTGAACGGTTTTTCTCCGGTGTGAGTTCTCTCATGGCTTCTAAACCTTGATATCCGATGAAAGATCTTATCACAGAACTGGCAATGGTAAGGTCCAGCTTTTACACTTGCTGCCAATGTCTCAAGCATCTTGTTGTTTTCTTCAACTGAGCCAATTTCTGAATCTGTTTTTGTTAGCATATGACCATCTTCAGAGTTGGCTGTGGAGTCTTGTAAAAAGAAACTGAAAAGATAAAGGGATATTTCTGAGTAATGGAATGAAATATGCATGGGTGATATTTCAGCCCACAGCCTACAAATCAAAAATAATTCCATGAAAATCATGTGATGTGATCTGGTGGCAATCTACATTTGATTGCAGCACAACACATATAAAGCAAACTAATCAGACTTCAAGAAACAATATTCAAACAAAAAAAAGTAAAAAAAAAAAAATTGCTCACAGAGCAAATATACTTATAAACTATAAGAGTAGATCTAACAAAAATTAACATCTAATTACAAGACAATCATAGTTTAATAGTAGAAATGTTTAGATGTAATGTACATAATAACATGCCCTCCATCAGCACTGAAGTCTGATTGCTGTTACATACACCCCATTTCCATAGATTTTTAGATCGATCTATCCCTGTGGGGAGTCTCACTAGATTACTGTCAGCTTGGCCGGCTTAAGCATCTGTCCCGCCTACTAAAAGCTGTAAGGGGGTAATTAACTATGGTGCCCGCTCGGCTGACTGCAATTTAGCGTGAACCCCCAGGGAGTTAGGTCGATCTAAATCTTAATCTTTAGATCGATTTAAATCCCTGTGAAAGCACCCAAAGGTACTACATGAAAACAATCAAGGCTGTTAAAGATTTGTGCTGAGGCTGAATTTGTTCGCATAGTGGTATTTTCTTTATGTTCATACTTACCTGTGAGAATGAACTGTACCTTCATGAACAATGTAATCCCTTTTTTTGAAAAATATCTTTTCACAATACTGGCATTTGTAAGTTTCTCTTGTCGTGTGAAGTAACTCGTGTTTGGTACAGCTGTCTTTCCAAGAAAACCTTTTCTCACAATACTGACATTTGAATGGTTTTTCCCCAGTGTGGGTTTTTTCATGTTGTGTTATTTGGCTTTTTAGGCGAAAAGTTTTTTCACAGTATTTGCATTTATATGGTTTCTCTCCAGTGTGAATTCTTTCATGTCTCAGACAATCAGTTTTTTCTATAAACATCTTAGCACAGTACTGGCATTTGTATGGCTTCTCTCCAGTGTGAATCTTTTCATGCAGTGAACATTTGCCTCTGACTGCAAATGTCTTTTCACAATACTTGCACTTGTACGGTTTCTCTCCAGTGTGAGTTCTTTCATGTTGTACACAGCTGTTTTTTATATTAAAACACTTATCACAGTATTGACAGCTGAATGGTTTCTCTCCAGTGTGAATTAGTACATGACGGGTTAGATGACTTTTGAGGGTAAAAGACTTTTCACAATCCTGACATTTGTAGGGTCTTTTGCCAGTGTGAAACCTTTCATGAGTGAGGAGATGACTCTTCTCTACAAATGATTTCTCACAGTGTTGACATTTAAATGGCTTATCTGCAGCATGGGTTTTTTCATGGTGTAAGCATGTACCTCTCAGAGTGTATGCCTTATCACAGTACTTGCATTTAAATGGTTTCTCACCAGTGTGAACTCTTTCATGACCTGCACAAGTTTGTTTATCTCCAAATGACTTGAATTGTTCCTCCTGAGAGTGGTCTGTTTTGCCATTTTCTAAAGATGTTTGCAAATTTAGCTGAATATCTTTTAAAGTTCCAGCTCCATTTGACAGAACATCTCCTTTAGAAATATTACTGTTTGGTGCTTCCTGTCTTAAACACGGGATGACTGGTTCATTCACGGATTTATTTTCTGTAGTATAAGACAAAGATTTGAAGTCCCCATCTTTTTCTTCAGCTGGCTCAATATTCACACTGTTGACCAGAATGTCCAAATTTCTTGGGGAATCCATGACGATCTGTTCAAAATAACTGTAAAGATACGTGTAAAAGACAATTAAATTAAGGGTAAAATTACACTATCTTGTCTTGCCCGTGGATATTTCTGTCAAGAGAAAAAAATTAGATGGATAAAAGATCAATTTGAAAAAGTTATCTGACCTGATCATATTTAATATCATTATACCTGCGATACCACATGGTTTTGGCTCATCTTTAACAGTTTTATGCCATAGCACTAAATACAGAATTTCTGCCAAAAAGCCCGGAATAGACACCTTATGACATAGGCTCCTCTTAGTAAATGTTCACAGTAGCTATTTGTGTTGATTATATGATAGCAATAAAATATATATAAATATTCTGTTTTCTTTAATCTTTTTTTTATTAAAAAAAAAAAAAAAGCACTGAAACTGGCATAGCCTTACATTAGAATTTTTTAATCAAGGGTATCTGATAGAAAAATAAAAAGTATTAAAGTATTTCAATGCATGCTTGATAAGCTACCCCACCCCCTTCTCCCCGGAGCAACTTTTTAAAAATCTGGTACAGCATCCAAACCACCGGCCTAGTTGTGTTTAGTAGCAACCAAGTGAAAAAAGTTGGATGTCTTGCCCTGCTAAGGTATATCGTCCACAACTAACATTCTCGTATACCATCCACATTGTATCAGTTGATGTATCAATTTGATTTTATTATTAAGCGAAAGAACCTTACGGTACCTGCACTTGCTGCAGTGTGAACTGTGAACGAATGCTCATAACGTGACTTCAAATCTGAGCAGTAAGCTAAAATAAGATAAATGCTGTAGAGCCAAAGCCCTCGGGATTGTTGTGAGACAAGAAGCAGCGTTTCTTCTCCTTGAATGCCATTTATTATGTACAGGAAATGACGCCAGTCTCACAGCGAGTGGGCGCGGACATCTTGGCCATTGCTAACATAAAGATTGTTTTCCACCACGGAACGGCACTTTTTAGATAATGATAATCTTGTTGAATATTTAAATTATGATGAAATTGAATATTAATTGTGTGTTATATTTTGTTATTTTGTGATTATAAGAATACATATGTGATTGCTTAAATCAGATTTAATAACAACGGCTGACGGAGTTTGGGGGGGGGGGAGGGGGGAGTTGAGTGTGATTTTCCTTGATCTGACTCGAAAAGGTAGAGATTCACCTGTTGGGAATCTACTTGCCCCATCAATTATACCTTACTTCTAAAAGTTTCTCATGCATTGGTAATTATTCTGCGTACTAACATGTTTGCAAACGTAAATGTGCAACATGCAGGGTTGACAGGATTGTTGAGAAATAGATAGAATTGTTGTAATATCTCTTTAATTATGACACAATTGCCTCAACCACATTGCCTTCCCTAACACATTTAAGCATCAAAATTTCAGTTGCACTTGCTATCCAATTTTGTTTTTCACGTGTAAAAATCTAAGCCATAATTTAAAGGATTTTTCAACATTACCTAATTTGAGGTAAGTCTTACAGCAATACGTATCTTAATTCTCTTGGATTTTTCATCACATAATACCGAGTTCTACATATCTTATATTTTCTAATTAAATGCGATCATAATACACATCAAATATATATCAATTAAATGTAAATTTGGACTATTAAGTCCCAATATAAGGTTTTGAATTTTTTGCTGTTGTATGCTTATGCTTGAAGTGGAATAAAATGGTGACTCTGAAATTCAATTAAAACACCACTTCTTTGACAAAAGAAATATCATAAATTGCACTTATCAATACTGTCTGCTACACTAGATGCCCTGAAGTTGTATACTATGACGACTGTCATGAATACCCTCTACATATATTTTTAAATAATAAATTACTGTATTGACATGATAAGGTATTTCACCAGTGTTAATTTTTTTTTGTGATCCACACAGTTACCTTTAAATCTACATGCCTTGTAACAGTGCTGGCATGTTAAAGGTATTTCACCAGTATGAGTCCTCTTGTAGTTAATTATAGTGCTCCTTTCATGGCAAAAGCTTTGTCTTACTACTGTCACTGGAATGTGATTTACACCTGAAAATACTGTTCTGTTAAAGTTTTTATACAACGACAGTCTCTAATTTGCCTGCAAATCACTCCTTTAAAAGACAATCTATTAGCCAATCTTTAGCCAATGTCAATTTGCAATATTGGCAAAAATTTTTTTCTTCAGCTGGTGTCTTATGTTTACATGCAATTTTATCACCTACAGGTATGTATATTTTACCACAGTTCTGACATTTAATCATTCCCTGTTGCTTACTGCTAATTTGATCAGCCGTCATCTGATAATTCAAATGCATATCTGACAAATTCCGAGCTCCACTTTCCAAAACACTCTGTTGAGCATCATTCTTGTTTGATATTAACATTGTCATGCTATGGTCAGAAGGATCAACTGGCTCAACTTTAACACTAGTGTGCAATGCTTCAGTGTTCTCTGTGCTATGGTAACCAATCTGACTGGAGAATGTCTCATAATTCACCATGATCTCACCATTTTTAGACATATTTTTTTGATGGGTTGTTTTGTCTGAGTTTTTATGCTTTAAGGAGTTGGCAAAGTAGCCAACTGGTTCCACCTTTGCACCATTTATCTTGGTTTTATCATGACCTAAATTGTGTTCCAGTTGTTCAGGGTCAACTCCCTCATTTAAAGTTTGGGCATTCTCAAAATCATCATCCATGGGCTCTACTTTTACAGTGGTAGCCATGTCATCTCCACAGTCTTCCTCAAATCTCTGTTCCACAGCCTCGCTCTGAGCGAATTGTGTTTGGCGATTCAACTGAACATCTGCCAAGCTTCCAGCTCCATTTTGTAGAATGCTTTTTATTGCAGAGATTTTTTTAGGTTTTTCCAGTTTGCTGGTATGGTTGGAAAGCCTGACTTCCAAATGTCTTGTCATATTGCTGCTTTCTTTGTAGTTATCTGTGGAATTTGGTAAAATTAAACTGAAAAGGACAAACTGAAATTATTAGAGTTAATTTCAGGTCTAAGAGAGAAAGGAATTAAAGAAAGATAGAAAAAAATTTCAAAAGATTTTTGTTAAAGTTAAATTTAGAATTTAGGGTACAGATGGAATTCAAAATAGCCTTTGGTCAAAACATTTCATAAATTATTTTTTTGTGATTTTGATGATTCCCTACGTGCAAGACCTGGTAAAACAATTAATGTGAAAATACAAATGCAAAAGGAGAAATAAAAAATAAATAAAATTTGTGTAAAACAAACCATTAAAAATGGTAAATAATAGAGGATAGATATTATACACAACTGGTATTTTCTTTACTTGTATATTTACCTGTGAGAGTGAACTGTACCTTCATGAACAATGTAATCCCTTTTTTTGAAAAATATCTTTTCACAATACTGGCATTTGTAAGTTTCTCTTGTTGTGTGAAGTAACTCATGTTTAGTACAGCTGTCTTTCCATGAAAACCTTTTCTCACAGTACTGACACTTGAATGGTTTCTCCCCAGTGTGGGTTTTTTCATGATTTGTTATTTGACTTTTGAGGCGAAAAGATTTTTCACATTTATTACATTTATATGGTTTTTCTCCAGTGTGAATTCTTTCATGTCTCAGACAATCAGTTCTTTCTTTAAATGGCTTATTGCAGAACTGGCATTTGTATGGCTTCTCCCCTGTGTGGTTCCTTTCATGCAGTGAACAATTGCCCTTGACGGCAAATGTCCTTTCACAATACTTGCAGTTGTACGGTTTCTCCCCAGTGTGAGTTCTTTCATGCTGTATACAGCTGTTTTTTCTGCTAAAAGACTTATCACAGTATTGGCATATGAATGGTTTCTCTCCAGTGTGAATTACTTCATGACGCATCAGATTACTTTTGACAGCAAAGGCTTTTTCACAATTCTGACATTTGTATGGTTTTTCTCCAGTGTGAAACCTTTCATGTGTCAGCAGATGAGTCTTCTCTACAAATGCTTTCTCACAGTGTTGGCATTTAAATGGCTTATCTGAAGCATGAGTTTTTTCGTGTTGTAAGCAATTGGCTTTGAGAGTATATGTCTTATCACAATATCTGCATTTGAACGGTTTCTCACCAGTGTGAATGCTTTCATGACCCACACAAGTTTGTTTATCCCGAAATGACTTGCCACAGTACTGGCACTTATGAGGTTTTCCAGGAGAGTGACCTCTTGCACCATTTTTGAAAGATATCTGCAAACCCAACTGAATGTCCTTTAAACTCCCAGCTCCATTTGACATCATATTTTCTTCAGTTATTTTAATATTGGCTGCTTCCAAGTCAAAAGAGGGAATGACTGGTCCAACCATGGATTCATTTTCTGTAATGCCAGATGAAGTTTTGAAATCCACATATTTCTCTTGAACTGGCTCAATATTCATGCTGCTGCCTTGAATGTCCAAATTTCTTGAGGAGTTCATGATTTGTTAAAGATAACTGCAAAGAAAAAAATATAATAATTGCATGCATTCCACATCTCACATGCGGTCACTATAGAGCCTGTGGATATAACATGTATCAGAAAAAAAAATTAATTGGATTGATAAAAGATGAATGTCCAAAATCCTAAATTTTACTGCATCAAAACTTATCCTATAATAATTATTCAATGAATTTGTCTAATATAGTAATAAGCATGCTATCATTTCACTTTAATACAATGAAATTTCTAACATGACTCAGTTGCTTTACTTATTCAAATCAAATCCTCAGTGCTAAAAAAAAAAACGTCTCAAAGTCCAAAACCTGAATAAGTCTTTCACACCTGATATTGAGGTATCATTTACTTGCATTTCAAACAATTTTACACTCATACAAAATTTATCAGTAAATTACCACAGTCTACATCATTCATGCATTCAACAATTGTTTAGCAATCAAACACATACTAAAGCACTCCGTACATGTAGAGAGTAGCTCCAGCTAGAAGTAGAATCCAATAAAACGGATACCGCCTGCTTCAAAAACTTGTCTCGCCTTCAGCGATTAATTTAAGAATATGATAAATATTTAGTTAAATTTGTTATGATTAAAGCAAAAGTGGATTCAGGTGACCAAGGGAGGAGGTATGCCTCACTGACAAAAAAAAAATTTAACGATCAACTTCAAATCCGGGGGCGTCTCGATAGTCCGAAGGTTCATTGGTCCGAAGGTTCATTGGTCCGAAAAGTGGTAACATTTTCATCGATTTTTTAATCAAGGGTTCATTGGTCCGAAGGTTCTATAGTGAATATTCGGACCAATGAACCTTCGGACTATTGAACCTTCGGACTATTGCTACGGCCCCTCAAATCCAACCAAAGAGGAGGAACGCTATTAAGTGAGCTGACCTGCGCTGCAGCGTCCTGTGGGCAAGACATTGATACTTGGGCAGGATGACCTAAAATCCCATCAGCAATCTAAAATAAGATGTATCACGCAGCGTCTAACCCCTGGGATTGTTGTGAAACAAGGCGTTACTTCTTCGTAAATTAATTTATTATGTACAAGAAATGACGCCTGTCTCAGCGAATGGGCGCGGACATCTTGGGTTACTTCTAACATAAAGATTGTTTTCCAGCGTGGAACAAAACCCATTGAACATGATATTTGTTTCTGTTGAACTTTTTAACGCTATTATTAAATCAAACAAAAATAGTGGTGGAATATTTTGTCACATTTTCACCTGGAAAATATTATTACTGTGGTTGAATAAATCATTTTTTATTTCTACAGGATTACTTATCTGCTTTCAGGCTGTCCCCAGGAGAGCACAACACACACACTCACTGGAAGAGAGAGTGTTGAAATTTCTTTCTGCAATGGTGTCTTCAAGGGCATATTGTGATTGCATTTGACATATATGTCAAATGTGTCAACATTGTTGACGAACCATGGTCTTCCATCTGTGGCGTTAAAAAACTGACTCTCACAACAATTATTGTGACACAATTGGTGTTCTCTAAAGTTCTAAACATATTCAGGCCTGAAGCCAGCAGGGGTGGTGTTCAGTGAAAAATGTCTTTTTTGCCCCTCGTAGTTAACACAATGGGCCTGACATTTAAACATCAACAATTCAAAAGTATATGTTATCCAATTTTATTACATTTCTTGCACAGATACATTTACAGCTGGTACTTATGTGATGTAATGTAATGTAAATTCTAAATTCAACTATTAGCCCTTAATTATCAATTAATTGTTTACAGTAGCGTGCTTGCAGTGGAGTACAATGAGTTCTATTTCAATAAAAACAGCACTTGCTTAACAGAGGACGTGTTGTTATATTTATCAATTTGGTCTTTTATACTACATGTCCTGTAGTTGTCTTTTTGAGCTGACCTGCATGGCGTCGCTCTACATGTCTTTTTAAGGTATGACTTACAGGAAATGACATTTCACAGTACTGACATTGGTAAGGTCTTTCACCAGTGTGAATTTTTTCATGACCTACGCAGCCCCCCTTTAATTTAAATGTCTTGTCACAGAACTGGCATTTGAATGGAGCTTCACCAGTATGAGTTCTCTCATGGTTAATTAGTGTACCTTTTATGGAGAAAGCTTTGTCACAGTACTGACACTGGAATGGTTTTTCACCAGTGTGTGTTCGTTCATGGACAACACAGTTGTTTTTGCGAGAAAAAGTTAGATCACAGTACTGGCATTTGTAGGGTCTCTCTTCAGTCATAGAACCTTTGTGTACAATTTCTTCATGGCGCAAGCAATCTTCCTTCTTGAAGAAGCTTTTACCACAAAACTGACATTTGTGTTTTTCCCTCTCAGTGTGAATAATTTCATGCCTTGAACAAAGAAA